ATGAGCTTCACACACACACACACACACACACACACACACACACACACACACACACACACACACAAAGTACGTGGACATATACACGCACACACAAGCAGAAACACACGCATGCATCACCTTACCCCCCCCCCCCCACACACACGCAGACAGAGCGCGTACCATTTCGCGGTCGTCCCAGTCCTCTGGCTTGAAGTCTGTTGGGTCGTCGATGGTGGGGCTGGGCATGAGGGCAGGGTCAAAGTCATCCTTGGCGGTGAGAACGCCGCGGCTCACCTCCTCGCCGTTGATGTGCAGCGAAAACGTGTTGTCTGGCCGCAGGACGAGAGCGACGAGGTTGGTGCGGGTGTGGCTGAAGAGGAGCGACTCCGACGCAGACACCTGGCGCGCGTGCACCTCCTTGTACTCGCCAGTGACCGGGTGCTTGAAGCGGTAGATGAACCGCAGGTGGTTGGAGGCGCCGCACTTGTCTGGCCCAAACAGGATGGTGTACGGCGTCTTGTCCGTGAGCTGGGAGAGGTCCAGGTCGTCTGTGTTGGTGAGCAGCTTCATGTAGGCGCCGCCACACTCCATGGGCTCCTCGAACCGCACTTCGTACTGCACAATGAGGTCGTCGTCCTTGTCCTCAAAGGTCACTGGGGTGTCGAGCTGGCGGCTCAGCCCGTAGTGCTTGTGGGCCGCAGCCATCACCAGGCGCGCGCCGTTGTCGTCCTCCTTCAGTTTCCACTGGCCGTTGTACTTGCCAATGGCGTCGCTCACGCCCGCCTTCTTGGCCTCAGAGTGCACCCACCGCTGCATCCACCCGGCGCCATCTTCAAACGTCTCCTTCAAGTGTGTCGTCGCCTACCAACACGTGTGCATGCGTGTGAGCGAGATAGGGAGAGATAGTGAGAGGGAAAGAGAGTGTGTGTATGTGTGTGTGTGTGTGCCTCTGTGTGTGTTGTGTGTGTATGTGTGTGCATGTGTGTGCATGTGTGTGTATGTGTGTGTATGTGTGTGTGTGTGTATGAAACCGAGCCAACACCAATGCTGATGATGTGTCCGTCTCTTGTTCACAAGAGCAGCCAGGCTTCAAGACACACCTCCTCAAAACACACCACAGCCTTATTTCCCCCATCCCGCGCGCTTGCAGCACCCCCCTCTCCCTCTCTCCCTCTCTGTTCCCCTCCCCCCCCCCTTCCCCTGCCCCTCTTCTCCATTGTCTTACCTGGCATGTCGGCACCGTCGCAAGCGCCACAGCGCCAACAAGCAGCGCAGCCACAGCCGCCACCACTGTCATCCTCATATCGTGTGTGTGTGTGTGTGTCTTGTTTGCTGACGTGGTGCAGGCCGTGCAATAAGTGCTGACTCAGCAGAAATAGCTGGTTGGATACGAAAACGAATAGACCCAAAGAACCACAACACCCACCGAGCAGCAGCTGAGGTCCTTGCTGCCCTCACCCACCTGTCAACTCACCTCAAATCACCTTCTTGCGTGATAACGATAGCAAACAAGCCTTCCACCGACCAAGCTTCACCGCTTGTCGTTGGCTTTGCCGCCGTATTGAGATACTGTTTCTTTTCCTCTTCGTAGTCCTTCGTCTCTTTCTTTCTCCAGCCAGCAACCAAGGATCAACTCCACAGCGACAGCAGCGGCAACGACAGCACCCATAATCACACACGTGCACACACACACACACACACATACACACACACACAGCGCTGTGCTGGCTGGACAGATAACGCGCTGGCGCTGGCGTTACTGGTAGTGCGAGCTGTTCCTTTGCTTGCGTACCTCGCCCTCACCCCCGTGAGATGAACGGGGAAGGTGTGCTCCTCGCCAGTGGGGGCGTGTACCACGGTACGATCCAGGATGGACGGCCCGAGGGCATTGGCCGCGTGGAATGGCCTCAGCGACCCCGCTCAGCGGCGTCCTACCACGGCGAGCTGCAGCGTGGCGTTCGCTCCGGCCGAGGTCAGCTGGTCACCACAGAGGACATCACCTTCACGGGCGCCTTCAAGGATAACATGCGACACGGCGATGGCGTGCACACCCTCAACGGTACTGTGTGTATATGTGTGTGTGTGCGTGCGTGCGTGTGTGTGTGGGCATGTGTGTGCGTGTGTGAGAGCTTGTGGACGTGCGTGTGTGTGTGTGCGTGTGTGTGTGTGTGTGGGCATGTGTGTGTGTGTGCTTGTGGACGTGGGGATATGCTGAAGTGTTTGCTGCTGTCCTTGTTCTCACTCCGCGGCCACCACGACCCCCTCCCCCTCCCCTACTCATGCATGACACGTGCAGGGCGAGTACGGTATGAGGGCCACTTTGTGGATGGCCATATCCACGGTCGCGGATCATGCGTGTAAGTGCAAACAGCACCTGCGTGCGTGCCCGAGGTGTGCTGTCGCTGCACGATGAGCTGCATCGTCTTCGCTTCTATCATCCTCAGCTGCCTCGTTCACCCCCTCCCTCGTCATGCTGCAGGTATGACAACTACTTGGAGTACAACGGCGACTTCAAGAACGG